AAGTTCATGAGACAGCCTCAAAGGAAACAATACTATTATTTCCAATGCAGTATTGTCATCACAAACAGAAGATACCCAGAGAGATTATAATCCATGTTCTTGAGACTTGACATAGAAGCAGAAAAACATTGGGGCAACATGTAAACAGAGGCTAAGAAACAACAAAACATGAGTGTACACATAATCCCATGGTGACTTCCAGTCTTTTACCATTGGAACATGTGATGATGGAAATCAAAATACTGCATCTGAAAGAGAACAGGTAAGCTTCCAGGAGAAATTTAGGATTTTGAAGAATCAGTTGATCAATGCTCAATTCATGAACATTCAGATCCACCTGAATTGGTGAAAGATCAGACTTCAGTCATTGTTTGAAGGGTGTTGTCTTCTTTTTATCTGGATATGAAATTCTGTCAACCCGAAACTGGTCCAGAGGGGAATCTTTCATTTCTGATTTCCCTTTTCTTTTCACTTCATACAAATTTCCTTCCACAATCACAATGAGCTTTTTAATCTGAATCAGATTCTGATGTTGAACTCTTCCGTTTCCTTTTCCTCCATTTTCGCTTCAGTCTCTTCTTGTGATATTTCCTCTTCTTAGATGAATGGCCACTGCTTCTTCTGCTGCTGCTGCTGTCAGTATCAGACTCACTTTCATGCTTTCTCTTCCGTTTCTTCTTCCTCTTGTCAAACCTAGGCTCCTTGTCTGAGGATTCCATGTTGTCGGTGTCTCCACTTTCATGCCTCTGCTTCTTCTTCCTAATGTGTTTATGCTTTTCATCTGTCTGTTGGGAATCACTATCATCAGTATCACTTTTGTGCTTCCTTTTCCGCTTCTTCCTCTTCCGAAGGTGACTGTGATTGTCTTCCTCAGAGTCAGTCAATTCTCTACTGTCACTCCTCTTCTTCTTGTGCTTTCTCTTCTTCTTCTTCTTGTTCTTCCTAATTGCAGATGATGCCTGCAGTGATCTCAGTTCTTCTTCTCGCAATGATGTCAAAGGAGTTTCATAATCACTCGTTTCAGAAGATGTGCTACTCACATCAAGGACCACATCCTGGTTTGGGTTGAGCTTCACAAAGTTCCGGCACTGGAAAGTCAAATGACCAGGGTACCCACATTTTTTGCAAGCAGGACGAATGTTTTCCTGTCCCTTGGTTTGGGTAAGACGTGAGAGGAGCTCTGATGCATTTAATGCCATGTGGAATTCAACCTTTGAAGAAGAGTACTCAGGCCAACCTCAAGGGGATATAGGAAATGAAGAGAATGTCAATATACACTGTTCAAATGGTCAAGATCTGAAAGTAAAATCACCATTTCCCAGCAATGGGCATTCCAGTTCTACTTGATGCAGTAGGCTAGGGCCATATTTAGACCGCTTTGGATATACAGAGCTAGCACATCTAACTAAGTTCTATGGGAGGCATAGTTCAAGTCTATATCATTTCAGTGAGTACAGAATGTTAAGCAGGCCTAAATCACTTAACTTATCAGGATTTTAATCCAATACTTTGCAATATATATATTCCAGAAGGTTCACTCTTGGGCATGGGTTTCCAACCTAATTCAATTCATGGCATATATATTAGGAAATTTAAATGGTTTATAGTAAAAAAAAAAAACCTAACGTTAGCCCTCTTCAGCTATTTCATTACTTTTGACGCGAAACGTGATCCACTTAATTACCTCCTATCGGAGACATCGTTGTCCAAGTTTAAATTCGTTGGTGTAACTGCGTTTTGCCAATAAAAACCAATAACTCACTTAATATGTGTAAGTCTGTGCAAGTTCCGGGAAACACCCTCAGGGAAACAGCGAAAGTTTCTTAGGCAAGTTTGCTAAATGTAAAAAAAATCACCAAGGAAAATGAAAATTACCACGGCCGCACTGAAACTAATTTATATATTTTTCCTTGCCAACGCTCAAGTCTCCAGACCGCACTTGAGCCTTTTTTACGCCACGTCGGTTGGAAACCTTTCCCTGAGGGCTCCCACACGGCTTCACCTTGGCCTACGACCAACTTACGCGTCGTAGACCAGGAGATGATCGGATCACATGGCTGACCGCGTGCGAGTCACCATGACAGGTGCTCGGCGGTCCACGCTTCGGTTTGTGCAGAAATTTCGTTATTAACGACTGTAGAAGGTTTGGTCTATCTTCTAACCCTATTTACTCATTCTCTGACTTATAATAAATTACATAGGATTTGTATTGGGACTAACGAGTGTTTGCAAGAGTTAGTGATACGTGATGGAAGTAATTGCTCATTTCACTATCATCTCTTTTGTGCAGCGCACATGGGGCTAGGAGTTTTGCCGCTGCATAAAAATGAATTCGCTGGGTTTTTCCAATTAGGATAATTTATTTTCCACCTCTCGGTTGACTCCATGCCCTCAATGAGAGAAATAAAGCATGAGTCAGACATTTCCACATTGCTCACCTTTTTTTTCGCCAGCTGATTTACCTAAATATGAGCAATGGAGACCTACTGTTAAAAGAGGCCTATGAACATTGGTCCAGCCAAGTTGCGTGAGCGTGGAGCAGTTGATCGCACAGCTTACTCACGCAGTCGCAATGACGTCAAGGCCCCAGCTGATTCCAGCCGAGGAGAAAAGTCTTCTTGCTTTATCGACACTCCATGAGTTGCAAGATGGAGGCGACGACAATCCGTAACGGAAGGAGGCGGATGTTCGGACTTTGAAAGTGAATCAGTCAGCTGTGACTGGAGGAAGAGATTATTTCGTGGGAAGGCTCGTTCACAGATACCTGGAAGACATGGGTCAGGTGCTTTTACTGAAGAGGCTATTTACTCTGCTTCAGATAGCTTCATGCTGCCGTATGGCATTAGCTCACGGTGCCGTCCTCAGGCCTCCAATGTTATCTGTTAGGCCTAACGTTAGACTTTTCCCCCGGTTTTAGTCTGTGGGATTTTGTCTTGTTATAGGCTACGACATATGATAGGCCTAGGACTGTTTCCGTCTTCGTCTGTTTCTAAAACCGCTTGTTAGGGCTTCTCTACTTCTCCAGTAATTTTCGTTTAATTTATTTTGGCTGTGAGCCTTACGTGTACGTTTAATAGATTAATGGAATTTCCTATTTCCAAAGGTAATATAGACTACTTTGCAGGTTCCTTCTTGTGATATTGAGCCTCAGCATAAGAAAAAATATTTGGGTGAAGATGTTGATCCTTAAGGAAAGATTATTATTTCTCAATTAAATTGTGCCTAGGGAGAAGATAAGCACAAGCATAAGTCTACACCCTTTGAAATGCATATAATCACTCAGGAATTAGTGAATAGCACCAAGTTCTCCATTTGATACCAGTTGCCCCAGTGAGAACTCCACAAGAGCGATCATACTTCACGCATTCCAACAAGTGTACTTTTAAGATTCATCAGGTACCAATATGGGTGGGATTTTGGCTGCTTGATATGGTAATTTACAGTTCATGAGTGTTATGAATCAGATCTCCACCCCATCTGTCCGTGCCATCCTTGTGGCATGGAAGTCTAAGCAAAATAATGGGGAATGGAAGTAAACCACCTAAAAATCACAGAGGATTGCAAAGTTTTTATTTCGGAACAGTGTATTTTCTTGCAAAAACGTTGAATGTCCATCAAATGGAGAATTCATCAGTTCTGCTCATTCTCTCCATAGCCGAGAAGCATAACAATATGGTGAATGCAATACTATAGACCAAATTGCTCCATTTGAAGGTTAAGCATATTTTTACTTAGGAATCAGGATGAGATCAAATATCCTTTGTGAAAAATGTGTGTAGCATTTGAAAATTGTGTCCTAAGGCAACTATTTGATGGATTGTAGGAGAAAACATATTGATTAGTTAGTTTTGTGATATGAAAATTCATCTGTAGATTCCTAGAAATTATCTGCAGCAGTTTCAAACTTTTTTTCTTAAAATATTGCAATTGCAGGTATATGTAGCATCATGATGACAAACATCATAGTTTTGGGTTGCATTTCAGGAATTTTTAGTTTGCAGTTGACTGATTTCAGTCAACAATGCTCAAAATCACTTATTTCAATGAATAAAATCACCCTCTGATGCACATGCATAGCTTCCAATAAGGTAAATCAGAGCCCAGAGATATAGCAATATTTCACAATAGTCCACAAAATCAGCTTGACTAAGTGAAACAATGGACAATTATTATCCCCATGGAGAAACTTTCTCATGCACTTTCCCATTTTAATAATTGCACATTCTGTGCATTTTACAGATACATTTTACCATCTTCCATATTCTCCATAGAGAAAAATTTTAAATAATGGGAGGCTCTAATGTTCACCAATCATATGAAATGCTTCTTGTTCTTGAGCACAAATTGCCTCAGAGGATCCTTTTAGGTCAATTTCAGTTGGTCTTCTAAAAGTCTCTGGGTGGAATACGAGGGGCATTCAGTAAGTTTTTGGCCTAAGGCACTTCCAGTTGTAATACACCATATTTTTTTCATTGAAATATAGATGTCTTTGATGAATGAAAAATTTTCAATTCATTTGTTGATAATAGAAAACCTCTATGAAAATTTTTAAATGTGCTACCAAGGGGTATGCTGAAGGGATATTAAAACTGAAATGAATGCTGTCAATAATGCTTTATCCTCTCAGCTGCCTAAAGATTTGATGAGAAACCAACTCCTTCGAGGTTAGAAAATTCATGACAGCATTCGTTTCAGTTTTAATATCCCTTCAGCATACCCCCTTGGTAGCACATTGAAAACATTTTTATAGAAGCTTTCTTTCATCAACAAATGAATTGAAAAATTTTCATTCATCATCAAAGACATCTGTCTTTCAATTAAAAAATATGAACGGTGTATTACAACTGGAAATGCCTTAGGCCCAAAACTTTCTGAATGCCCCTCGTAGATAACTTGGTAACTTGTTTCAGAATATTGCAATATGCAAAATCCTCTCTCTCTCATATTAGTTGCTTTAGTTTCTCAATTTCTAGAATATGATATGAATGAACTAATTTTCCACATGTTTCTCTCACATAGATGAGGTAGCAAACTAGTGTGGCTGATTGTGACATCAAGGGGAAAATCAAAATCAAGCAACATGTCGATAAACGCTGGAATGGAGCAGTTGATCCCCATTGTGAACAAATTGCAAGATGCATTTACCCAGTTGGGTGTCCATATGCAGTTGGATTTGCCACAAATTGCTGTGGTTGGAGGACAAAGTGCTGGGAAGAGTTCTGTTCTGGAGAATTTTGTTGGCAGGTGAGTCTCAAGCAAGAGAGCCCCACACTCATTAATATAGTGGTTCCCAACTTGTGGCCCTTGAGGTGCTTACAAGTGGCCTGGGAGACCCTAACCCACAATACCCTCAGGTCTCCTTAATAGTCTCCTACAATACTAGTGACTTAATGAGGCCTGCAATGGTTGTGGTAGTGAGCTATATGGCCCCCTCACCAAAAAGGTTGGCCACCACTGCAATAATTACACTGTGATTTATAAAATTGGGACCCTCGAGTATTTTATTAGAACTCTTATATTTATTAGTCCATTTACATGAAATTATGAATTATTTTAAAACAAAACAAAAAATCATAATGATTGCCACAGCTCTTTTAGTAATCTCTTTGCTACATAATGTTTACTCTGTCTTAAAAATTTGATAACATGCTTGTCTTCACTGAATGCCATTTTTCAGGGTATGCTACAGCAGATTTATAATGACATCATTAATCATCAACAACTAAAAAAAGAACTTTAATTTTCAAACAATTTTTGGAAATACATAGCTTTTTTTATTAAGCTTATAAGCTTAATAAAATGAGCGTATTAGCTTATAAGCTAATATTTAAAATTTCATGTAAATGGAATAAAAATAAAAGAGTTATAATAAAATATTTAGGGGGTCCCGATTTTATGAATCATGGTGCATGAGTAGACTTCTCAAAGTGTTTGCACTCCATTGCTGGTATAGGAGTGTAAATTATTTTCTGTATAATAAATATTTGTCCCAATTGTTTACTGTATTACCAAAGTGGAGATGCTTCAGATGCATAGGAAAGGGTAGTTTTTATGATCATGACAGGGGAGGCAAAAAGTAACAGAAGGATGTGCTGCCCCGCTACTCTATCTTTCCCTTTAGTCCATCCACCCCCCCCCCCCCTCCACTTTTTTTTTTATGACTCTTCCCCATTGAGAAGAGAAACTGAGAGATTCGGACCTGCACTCCCAGCATTACTTGCAGATTTCTGGTTTCATTACCAGTCACACTGCTCTTGAATAGGCTTTCACTCCTGATCCCTCCTAATATCGGAATCAATGGAAATTTTACTGGAAAAAAAAACTAGGCATTAGTTGAGTCAGTCTTCATGAAACTTCCTTCAGGCAAACCAGATTCCATAATACATGGATAAGAAAGACTATTGGTGGATATGCAAAGGTAAACAATGGAGAACAGGCATAACCAAGAAAATGATGCAAACTGCAACAAGTTCTTTTGCTCCTCTAGGCAGTCCATGATTGAGATTATCATTGTCTGTTCCCACAAGTGGATACAGCCTTTTGCACAACTTGGACTGTGCAAAGGCTGAGAGTACTTGAGAACCCTTATATTCCTTGTAGTGGAGTGATATGATACAAACAAGTAAAATGCTGTTATTTTGAATGCACTCAAAAGAATTAAAAAATTGTTTTCTTCACATTCTAATGCTTTGAGTGGGAGTTTTGATGCCACCTCAATGCATTGCCTTATAGCACATGTTTGGTGTGCTATGTAGTCAAGCTCCAGGCTGCTCTTGAGGTTGAATGGTCAGGAATGGAATCTCAGATCATTATCATGTTGGAGAGCTGCCAGTTCAGCAGCTGCACTTTATTTATTTTGATTCTGTCAATCCATTAGTACCAGTCTGGTGTAAAACTTCCTAATTTTTCATCACTGGGAACAAAACTCTGTTTCAACATTTCTGTGTGAAGCCTGGAATTCCTGATAAATCATGTGTGTCCGTCCAGAAAGCATAATGCTTTTGCAATTCAATCCATACCATTGGGAAATAGTTCAGAATAACAGGAGACCATTAATGAAAGTAGCATATTTCAGAGCTTCACTTGCAGAAATTTATTTTTCTCTTTAGATTGCTTTCTTTTTCCGCCATTGCTTGTCTGTTTTCTCAGGAAGAACACTGCCCCTCCTTTTTATACAGGGTATTCCATTTAAAACGCAACCCAAAGTACAACAGCAAGACAAACGAGTTGTTTGATAGTTTTTATTTGTTAGGAATAATATTACAGGAACGTAAAGAACAGCTTCACAGCAGATGCTGAAAATGTCCACCACCTCGAAGACAAGACTATACAAGACTTCATTTTTATACCGTAGTACGTGATTGTTGTTGGGTTGCGTTTTAATGGAACACACTGTATTATTTGCTCTCATCACGGGGGGATAAGGGAAGCGACAAGATATACGGATCCAACAGTGGCGTACACGGGGGGCTGGACCCCCCCGCGGCCGACAATCTCTCGCCTCATCGCAGCCTCTTCCCCTCCTTCGTAGCCCTCGATGCTGTAGTGCTGAGCCCCCATAATAAAATCCTGCGTGCGTCGCTGGGACTCTATGCCATGGCATGGAGATTTGATTAAGTATGGCGAGAATCGAAAACGGAAGGGACATCGCCTTAGAAAGCCGAAGAGTCCGTGTGGTCCATAATCCTCGTTCAGGCACGACCCAGCTTACCTGGCAATCTAGGAAATTCGTAGGAATTAATGGTGCCTGAACCAAGCCAACCTCTGCGACCCAGGGTGCCGGGGCCGGGCAAAAACCGGACCAGCAAATAGGTGGGTTTTTTCCCGGGAGGCAGGGAAACTGGTTATGTCGAACATCCCTATAGAGATAGGCTGGATGTCTGAATTAGTGGTGCTAAGCGGAGAGGAAAACGTTGACGAGCTTGAATGAATGGTTATGTGGAACCTTATAAAATATATTGATTCGTTGGGCCGTAGGCACAGGCCAGAACTAACGCGAGACAAGCTTTAGTATGATGCTAGTGTTCTGGTTCTTATCAATGGAAATTAATATCGAATTAATATTAGTGCTTTGGGCTATGTACACGACCCATGGACTTGAACGTTAATCGGAGTCCTTCGGAGGAAACTGATGATTCCTTTCCAGGGCCTTCAGATGGAAATAAAAAGAATGGAAAACCTCATGTGCGTCCGTCCAGAAAGCATAATGCTTTTGCAATTCAATCCATACCATTGGGAAATAGTTCAGAATAACAACAATCACGTACTACGGTATAAAAATGAAGTCTTGTATAGTCTTGTCTTCGAGGTGGTGGACATTTTCAGCATCTGCTGTGAAGCTGTTCTTTACGTTCCTGTAATAGTATTCCTAACAAATAAAAACTATCAAACAACTCGTTTGTCTTGCTGTTGTACTTTGGGTTGCCTTTATCCCCCCTTGGAGAACCTTTATTCCCCTTTGAAGAAAATAAAGCCTTAGAAAAAAGTTATTGCTTTCACTTTCTATATCCCATTATTTGGCTTCTCGGTAGTGCATTCCATTTTGACAGAAGAGGCCCTTTTTGCGGGTCTAGGATGTACAGTAATTGGAGGCCTGGGTTGAACATCCGCTGGAGCGGTGACTGCCAGCCTCGGTCCGATGAGGGTCAAAGGCTAGTGTTGGATTGCGGTTTCCCGGAGGGCAAATGTGCGATTCGGCAACATTTTGTGCTTAGGTTTTTTTTTTGGATCCGAGCCAACTCGCATGGCATTGAACAGATCTCGCATACGAGGCGTTGGCCATCGAAAGGAGAGATGAGACTCATCTCTTGTTGCCTGCAGGGCGATGGAATGTATCCGGTAATCTTGTCGTCGCAGGTACTTTCCGCCGTGAAACTTGATCGGTGTATATGGCTTCAATAGTCCGATAAGCTTGTCAGCCGTACGCCACTTCGACATTCTGATTCATCAATCTTACGCCTCTTCGACGGCTTTATTCACCGTCAGGCGTACGCGAGGTCGACCGTGTGATTCATCGTCAAGCATATGTCACTTCAATGGTCGTATTCGTTAAAGTTGAAATTCGCTGTATGCCTTTCTCTCTAGGACACATACGGACGGTATTCTGCAATCTCTCCTTAGGAATGAGGGGGGGGGGGGTGTTTCACCGTGCCTCACTGCCTTGGGATTTATGTATTTAAAAAATGAAAGGAAGACTAGAATGGCCCCCGCCTTTCCAGGAAAGGATGATTGTTTATTGTTCGTTGCTCACGAAGGAACTTTGAGGGAAGGCCCCGAAGCCGAATGACGTGGGTGTCGAGATGAGTCATTCACACGCGGCGTGACCGATACCGAGAAGAAAGGGTCAGGGACCGTTGACGTGCGTCTCTGCGGGCTTGTTCTTCGGACGGGGGAGAGGGAAACGCCCATCTCTCCGCGACGATCACATGGTGTGTCCCGTTTGCCGGGATTGGGTGGTGCCTTAGCTGGGATCGATCGACGAGGTAGGAAATGAATTTGGTCAGGACAATGGAGGAATGTTTCATTGTGTGGGAGGTCGTTCCCGATCATCTTGCCATTGCTTTCCATTTGCTTCATGGTAGTCTTCAATCTTACCATGCATGGCGGAATCAGTCGAGAAAAGAGAGAGCTCCAATTTGCCTGCGGAACCCCATTCTCCGCTCCTTCTTCCCCCGGATACATTGCCCCTCCCCAGCTGGGCACTGGAGGAGGATCAATACCCGCCCGCTCTTGGTTTCTCTTTCTCCTTCAAGGTCATCCGCCCTCGACGAAGGCTTCTCAAGCGCTTCCTTTATTTAACGTCATCCATCAAAACCGGCCCGCATGTCGATCTAAGCTTTTTTTTAATTCAAGGAAAGCAGAAAGTAGCCTGATATGGTTCGAACCGCCTCGCTGGCTAGTAATCGTATTCCATTTAAAGTCAAGCTGGAAGTGGAATACCCCTGGCTTGGACATGTGGTTCAGTTGAAGTTAGCCGCAGTCGGGACAATAAAATGTCGTTGATGATGAAAGGAATAAATCACCTTAGCATGGAATAAGCTCTTGGTAGAAGTGAAAATGTCCTTCAGTGAGGGTTTTGGACACTGGTTTCATAGTATGAAGAAACTGAGGTGATCTGAAGTGAAAGCCTAGATGTTGTAGTTCCTGGAAAAGCTTCATTAGTTGAAAGACCTTCAGCACTCCGCTGAAGACCTTTCAACTAATGAAGAGGATCCAGAGCACCTTGAAATTTTGCTTGACTAGGTAATGAAAAAATAGGTCTCATCTACATCTCAAATATAAATGTCGTGCAGTTGCAGGTGAGCCATAATAGACAATTCCAATTCCATGTTATCTGAATTGCTCATCATTAGGTAGGCTTATTCAAACCTCTAGAGTCTCACTTACCTGCCATAGTTGAGAATCAAATTCATACAAGAGTGCAATCCTGAATCTCAGTTCATTAATAATTCCTAAGTAATCAGGTAGTAGCTTGTTTTCTAGTTTCACATATATCCCATATCCCAAGTCGATCTATATTCAGAGAAGAAAGTTTTAATGAATAAAATTTTGGTATCTTTGCTCATGAATCTCAGATCTTTATGGGAGTGAGATAATAATAATTTAATCAAACCTTGACTCAGAATTCACCCATTGCTGAATCTACCCTTTCAGACCTGCATCCATTCCAATGGACATTGCATTTTTATTGTTTCTATGGTAATTTCTTTGGATTCTCTTGACTTTGCACCTCATATTACACTACTATGGATGCAATTATGCATGGCTCAATTCCATCGGAAGCATTCTCTTACCCAGCAGTTTTATAATATTCAGTTATGTAATTACATGTGTAATATATAATATGGTATGATATGGTAAATTTATTTTAAAAATATATGAAAGCAATGAATGGAACATAAACATTTAAAGTAGAATAGGAAAAGAGCTCAAAAAGGTCTGAAAGGGTTAAGCTCATGGGGATGATTTCTCTGTCAGAGATACACAGGAGAGCATTGCATTTGAGGTGAATAATGAGGATGGTTCATATTGGAATGGGAAGCAACAAGCTGTCCAGCTCTCCATTGAGTTTTGTTCAAAAAAGCAAATAATACCTTCCAGTAAGTGTTGCAGGTGCTTATTGCTTCATGGTACAATCCTGTTGACATGAACTTCATCACTTTCAACCAAAATTGCTGGGATCAGATGGTGTATCAATATTATTTATGCACTGAAAAATCTTGTTTTATCTATTTCCAGGGATTTCTTGCCTCGTGGATCAGGGATTGTGACCCGGAGGCCTCTCATCCTTCAACTTATGAACTCCAATGTTGGTGAGTTACTGGTACTTCTCTGTCATATTATGTGATTGAATATGCATCAAGGAAATACTACATTGGATCAATATTTTCATTTCCTTTGTCAGGAAGTTATATGAATGCCTCACTGCATATGCATAGAGGTTTACCATGGGATGGACTCTTTGTTGGAAGGGAATGAAGTTTCTGATATGACTTGGTTCAGGCAACCCTTATGCCAACATTCCCCCACTGCCAAGCCTTATCATAAGGAAGCATAAAACAAGGTGCAGGGAGACCAGAAAAAAGTTTTAAAATTGTGGATTGTCACAGTTTTACCCCTTTCTTAGAGAAAGAGGCAGATATAGGAGCCTTGTGCTTTTTTGGTGATTCCTTTTTTGCCCTTTTGTCTCGCGGAGTAATTCACTCAAGATGTAGAAAAAGACAGGTGGGTGTCACTGCCTGATTCACATTCAATTGGCTCCAATACATGACATGATCATAGCAGGTTGGCCCTGCCTTTCTCTCTTCATGGAGGAATAAGAATGATTTATGCTTTGGAGACAAAAATATACATCATTTCCTGAATAATGTATACTCCTGTTGAGGTTAGATATAGAGGAGTTGAGGGTGGCATTATAGGTCTGGATCCTGGTTAGGACCCATGAAGAAATTGCAATTAGTAAAAAATGAAAGACACTGGAACCTACACATATATAGGGTGGTTAAAAAAAAATGCTCTACCGTTTTCTATGGGAGAAACAGCTTCATAAATGGAGCAAAAAAATTACATTTGATATGCGATCAATATTTGATAGTTACAAGGTGTTGAAATGCTTGGCAACTTCTTTCAGCACTCCTGCCAAAGTTGTGCAATGCCCATTTAGAGGCGAATTAAAGGTGCTTAGAGGTGGATCATCACCTCAAGTGAGGTGATGACCTGTGCTTGACCATCTTGGAATTCAATGAATTTTCCAACTTTAACTTTTCAAGGGACTGTGGGATCCAGCTGATACTTGACAGAGTAGTTCATGAGTCTAAGGTTTTTTTTTTCACTTCTGCAAGATGGTGCTGCTGTTGACCAGGTGACTGAGAGTGATTAGAAAAAAGCTCCACCATTTTCAAAGGGAAGAAAGTATGATTAGTTTATTCAATAAAAAAATATGAGATGCATAAACTCCTGATATTGGACATACAGGAGGTATTGAAAACATTGTCTTGTTTTATTTCTGAACATTTCTCTGAGCCATGTATTGTTCTGTTACACAGTTTACAGGTGGAGCATTAAACCATTTTTTTAAAATCACCCTTGGTCACCTGGTCAACAGCAGCACCCTCTATGAAGATACAGCGCCATCTTGGGGAAGTGAAAAAAACCTCTTAGACTCATGAACTACTCTGTCAAGTATTAGCTGGATCCAACTGTCCCCTGAAAAGTTGAAGTTGAAAATTTCATTGAATTCTGAGATGGTCGAACACAGGTAATCGCCTCAATTGAGGTGGAATGATCCATCTCAAAGCACCTTTAATTCACCTCTAAATAGGCGTTGCACGACTTAGGGAGGGGTGCTGAAGAAAAGCTGGCAAGCATTTCAACACCTTGTATCTGTCAAACATTGATCGTGTATCCAAGGTAGTTTTTTTTGTTACATTTATAAAACTGTGTTTCTCCCGTAGAAAACTGTAGAGCTTTTTTTTTTTTTTAACCACCCTATATATGTACTGGGTGGCCCAAAAAAAGGTCCCAAACTTAACATGCCTGCAGATGGAGTACCCTATGAGTTATTGATGGAAAATTTGCATGGTTTTACATGCTGTATTTGCAGGTAATGTTAAGAAATTTTTATTGAAACAGGTAATAAACTATCTGATTGGAAAGAAAGTTCTCGGAATTTCATGAACAATTATTACAACCCAGTTTATTTAAAAGCAAAATCATCTCAATCATGAATGTAATCACCATTGGCCTCTATCACTTCACGCCAATGTTCATGCAAACTATGGATGCCATTCCAATAGAACTCTGGCGGCTGCGCTACGAAAAAGTTGGCCAAATCGGTTTTCAGGTCGTCTCGGTTGGCGTACTGCTTTCCACCCATGTGACGGTCCAGGGCAACGAAAAGGTGATAATCGGACGGGGCAAGGTCGGGGCTGTAGGGCGGATGCGGCAGCACCTCCCAGCACAGGTCCAGTAACTTTAGATGAGTCTGTCTAGC